CCCCCCCCCTCTTCTCTCTTCGCGCTCTTTTCACCAGCGCGGTTTGGGGGGGACTGGACGAGAGGCCCGGCCGGGGTGGCCCATTCATTAGATAATTACTCCACAGGGCGGAACTCTCTGCCTTGCGCCCCTTTCTTCTCGCCCGTTTTGTTGTGTTTTATTTTTTTCGCCACAGTTGGGGGGCGCAAAGTTTTTAGAGAGACGCGGACGCCACCGCAGCGCCGACTGTGCGAGCGCGCGGGTGGCGGTGCTGACGCCGTGGTGCGTGCACGTGGCCCGCGGTGCACGCGGTGTGCACGGGCGCATGCGCTTGTGCACGCCCTACATGGCGGACCGCATCGTGTTTACCAGACGGCACAACCACAACATTCTGGCCGCGGCCGTGCTGCTACTCGGGCATGCCGGGCGGGAGAAAAGTAGTACGGACGGTCCAAGAAATGATAACGAATGAGAGAAAAAAATTGTACCGCAGTAAAAACAAGGTAGACGTGAAACAAAAAACTAGATCTGTGCTGAGGAATGAAATAATTGCGTACTTTATTCTAGATTATTCTCATTAGTTGGTTTAATCGTATCCAAACAATGCTGCCGTTACAAAATTGCTAAGTTCATCCAATGCAAGGTGCCGTAGCGCCGGATGGGTAGGCAACATCTTGCTTGTCGTGCATGCGTGTACTGCGGGTAGGCCTACCCTGCGTCTCGCAGGCGCCGAGCTCTCGTAATTTTGGCGAATGACCGACTGACTCTAGAAAACGGGTGGACTTTTAGAAGATCCATAAGTAGAAAAAGTACTACTGTTCTCAGTGCAGTGTTGAACTAATTGGGGTGTAAGTGTCGCCAAACTTAAACGACTTAGGTAGTGGTTGTACTTTTCGATGGCCGCATACAACTCCGAAACCGATTGACGTAGGGAAATATATTGAGAGTCAAGAGGGGGAGAGGACTTTGCACTCTGGTAGAGACAGTCTTTTGGGGACTGTCTAAACATGGCCCAATTTTCTGATCATCAGCCATGCATGATGTCATTTACCTGAGAGATCTCGGTGTGGTCTTTACCCCTGACTGGTAGGTACCACACTTGCGCGCCTGTCGGCAGGGCCTGTACGGCGCAGGGAGGGAAGGGGGGATGGAGAGAGAGAGAGAAAGAGAAAGAGAGAGAGAGAGAGAGAGAGAGAGAG